TGGGAGTAAGAGAAATAGGGAGATGTTGGTCAAAGAGTACAAACTTTCAGTTACAAGATGAATAATTCCTGGGGATCCAATGTATAGCATGATGACTACAGTTAATAAAACTGCATTGTATATGTGAAATTTGCTAAGAGTAGATCTAAGAGTAGATTTTTTTTTTTTTTTAAGTAGGCTTCACACCCAGTGTGAGCCCAATGCAGGGCTTGAACTCACGACCCTGAGATCAAGACCTGAGCTAAGATCAAGAGTTGGATGCTTACCTGTTGGGATGAGCACTGGGTGTTGTATGGAAACCAATCTGACAAGAAATTTCATATTAAAAGAAAAAAGAAAAAAAGAGTTGGTTGCTTAACCAACTAAGCCACCCTGGCACCCCACTAAGGGTAGATCTTAAGTGTTCTCACCACACACAAGGAAGTTAACCATGTAAGATGATCAATGTGTTAATTAGCTTGATTATAGTAACTTAACAATGTGTGTGTGTGTATATATATAAAAAATCATCCTGTTTTATACCTTAAATAGTCTTTGTCAAGTATACCTCAATAAAGCTGTAAAAGAAAAAAAAGCCACTAATAAGTATTGGTGAGGATTTGGAGAAACTGGAGCCTTCACACATTGCTAATGAGAATGTAAAATTGGTGCAGCTACTTTAGCAACCAGTCTGGTAGTTTTTGAAAAAGTTTTATATACAGAAACTTTAACAGTTCCACTCTCAGGAATCTATCTAAGAGAAATGAAAATATATATCCACCCAAATACATGTATGACAATATTTGGAGCAGCATTATTCACAAAAGGCAAAAACTTGAAGTAACCCAAATGTCCACCAGCTGGTGAGCAGACAAATAATATGTAGTACAGCCATACAGCAGAATGTTATTCAGCAATAAAAAGGAACTGAACTATTGATAAATACTATGACATGAATGGATGAATCTCAAAAGCCTTATGGTAAGTGAAATAAGCCAGATACAAAAGGCTATATATACTGTTTGATTTCATTTAATATCTAGAAACAGCAAATCTGTAGAGACAGAAAGCAAATCGGTGGTTGGCTAGCTGGGAGTAAAAATGGGGACTGACTACAAAGAGACATGAGAGAATTTTCTGGGGTGATGAAAATGTTCTCAAACTGGATTGTTAGTGATGGTTGTACAGCTCTATGAATCTACTAAAAATTACGTACTACACTCATACTGGGTGGACTTAATGATATATAAATTATATTTCAATAATACTGTTTATAAAAATAACTTTTAAAAAATTGCTAGTAAGCACAATATCCTATATAGAATCTCTCTTCCCATATATTAATCAGGTAATCTTGTACAATTTATTTCCTTTCTATTATAATGTTTTACCATACAGTGGCCTCTACTGGCCAAAAGGAGAGATTTTGATTAGTTGCTTAAAAATCACTAGTTGCTTAAAGTTTTTATATTTATAATGTATCTGCTATATAAATTAGGTCAGGATTGGCTATGGTTTCTTAAAAGTGAAACCATATTAAGATATAAGGGCTGGGGCACCTGGGTGGTTCAGTGGGTGAAGCATCCAACTTCAGCTCAGGTCATGATCTCACAGTTCACAAGTTCAAGCCCCTCCTCCAGCTCTCTGCTGTCAACACAGAGCCCACTTCGGATCCTCTGTCTGTCTCTCTCTGCCCCTCCCCTGTTGTCCCCCCCCCCAATAAATAAATAAATAAATAAATAAATAAATAAATAAATAAACAAACTTAAAAAACCAAAGATATAAGGTCTAAATTGTGCCCAAAGGAAAGCAGATGGGATAGAGTAGGAATGAAAGGACATAAGAAGCAGAAGCAAACCCACTGTTGCTCTAAAAGAAACCTTGTAAGAATACTTTTTTTTTAATTTATTTATCTGACTGATCTTTCCTAGTCAATCCAAAGACACATTCACAGAAAGATAAATGGAAAGCCCATTATTACAGGTTTATGATACATAAATAAAACGTAAATTAAAGTCACCGCCTGACTCTTTCACCTTTGGAAGGCAGAGTAACATGATGATTAAAAGAGCATGAGTAAAGAGTTAGCCTGGATTCAAATTTCGGCTTCAACATTTCCTCACTTTGTGACTTTGGGTTTATTATTTAATTCATCAATGCCTCAGTCTCCATTTTTATAAAATGGAGAAAATATTTTATCTCAAAGCATTTTTCAGAGTATTGTTCATCTCATAGTAACCATACAATGCATATAATGCATATAATTATTGTTATCTAAATTTAGAAATCGACAGTAAATTTTTTTTAAATTTTTTTTTAACATTTATTTATTTTTGAAACAGAGAGAGACAGAGCATGAATGGGTGAGGGTCAGAGAGAGAGGGGACACAGAATCCGAAACAGGCTCCAGGCTCTGAGCTGTCAGCCCACAGCCCGATGCGGGGCTCGAACTCACGGACTGCAAGATCATGACCTGAGCCGAAGTCGGACGCCCAACCGACTGAGCCACCCAGGGGCCCCGATAGTAAATTTTTAAATGATCTTTAAGTACAAAATATTACTTATTTATAAGATGCAAATTTGCCAACATTTACTGATCATCTAGTATGTACAAAGCACTTTAAGTTTTATAAGGAAATAGCTGTTGGAATACTGAAACACTAAAAGCACTATTGAAAATGACTAAAGAGAGGGGTGCCTGGGTGGCTCAGTCGGTTAAGCGTCCGACT